CAGGTGTGGCCCCACCCGCCCCAGGGGAGCCGCCACTTTGCAGCAGGGAGCCCCCCGGGACAAACAGCCAGGGGCCTGCCCCACTCGTCAAACACAAGCTGGGAGGGGGGGCTGGGCTGCACTGTTGACTCTGTGGCCACTGATTAACTCCCTAGGAGACAGTGTGCTCAGCGTGGCAGCCTCTGAGCAGGGGAACAGGGTCCCTGGGGGCTGGAGGGGAAGCCAGGGTGGTCTCAGGCAGGCGGGATGGTGCGTGTGCTGGGCCTGGCCCTGGAGCGGGACCCCTCCCTGAGGCTGCCCATGCCTGGGGTGGTTCCAGGGCTGCATGGGGGAAAGCAGCCCCCAGCCCCCGTCCAGCAGTGTGCATGGAACAGGGCTCACCGGGGCCACGCCGGCCCCGGAGCCTGGCAGGGGGCCCCAGACCCAGGCGCAGCGGAGAAGCGACAACACGCCCGCTGGCTGTTCCTCGCTCCTGCGCCGGCTGCCGGGGCTAATTCCCTCCAGATGTCCGAGCCGCCTGGCCCCCCCCAGCCAAGCCCAAGCGAGCCCCCTGCTCCCTGCTCCAGCCATCCCGGGAGTGGGGCGCTGACTGCCCCAAGCACAGCTCAGAGCTGCCCCACCAGCCCACAGCCAGCTGCTATTCACCCTGCCAAGTGGGAGCAAGGTCCTCATACCCCACGTAGCTAAGGGGCGGCCCCTCCCTCTGGATCTGAGCCCCATGCAGTGCCAGGGAGCAGAGCTACTGCAGGTCCAGTGGGGCCAAAAACCAAGGTCCCCCCTTGGGGGGGGGGGGGGGGGGGACAGCTCAGAGCTGCCCCACCAGCCCACAGCCAGCTGCTATTCACCCTGCCAAGTGGGAGCAAGGTCCTCATACCCCACGTAGCTAAGGGGCGGCCCCTCCCTCTGGATCTGAGCCCCATGCAGTGCCAGGGAGCAGAGCTACTGCAGGTCCAGTGGGGCCAAAAACCAAGGTCCCCCCTTGGGGGGGGGGGGGGGGGGGCGGGAAGGCTGTGCATGGATGGGGCACTGGCAGGCCCATGAAGGAGGGAGAGCACCCCCACACTCACCAGCCCAGCTCTTCCCAAGGAGGTCTCCCATCCAGGCTCCGTCCAGGGCAGGCCCTGCTTAACATGCAGAGACACACACCCAGCCTGGGGCCCCGGCTCCTCAGGCCCAGCTGCCTGGTTTGCAGCCTCCGGGTTACAAATTAAGCCTTGAAAATGTGATTTAAAAGTGAACCCTGAAGATTTGGCTGGCAGGTGGGGGGGACTACTGGGGAGCGGCCAGAGGTCTGGGGTGGGGTGCATGCATGTGCCTGTCACGGTGGGTGTGCATGCAGGAAGTGTGTGTCTGTGTGTGTTCAGAGGTTGCATGCACACGCACAGCTACTTCGCTGCACACTCCTATGTACAGGAAGTCTCTCTCCCTCTCTCTGAGCACGTCTGTGAATCACAGCATCTGGCCCTGGAGATTTCTGGGGGGCGGCAGCACCTGTGGCTGGGCTCAGGCCATGGGGCAGTCAGCAGCCTTGGCCAGCCCCCCAGGAGAGATTCAGGTGCCACCTAGCTGATTAGCAAAGCGCCCAGAGCTTGCAGCATTATTGGTGGTGCACCTCTGCCTATGTCTTGGTGCACAGAATAAAATGTATTCCACACATGGCTGAAAACAATTAGAGGGAACATTGGAGCCACGTGGCTTAGAATGAGCTGCTGCCCCTTTAAGCCTCCCCCCACACACACACACACACATACACACAGCAGAGGGCTGGCGCTCCCCGCGCTCTCCGGAGCGTGCTGGCTGATTCCCACGGGGCCCGGCCTGGCGCTTCGCTCCACTCCCAGAAAACTTTTCATGTGCACCCTGCAGCACGGGCCTGAAATATTAATGCCCCGTGCGCCACAGCCTGCCAGCCAAGGGCAGCCGGGGCGAGAGCGCAGCCAGCGCCGCTAACCTCAGCTGCCCTGCGCTCACCCTCTGGAGCCTGAGGGGCGCCCAGGGAAGAGGGGAGCTGCCATCTGCTCACTCTACACAGCCCAAGGCAGCAGGCGTGGGCTGGGCCAGGAGCCCCGCTGAGGCCTCTGCACAAAAAGGAGGAAGCAAGAGGCCCAGACCTGCCCCCACCCCAAGACCCAGGACTGGATAGGAAGGGGCTGAGCCCCAGCAACTCAGAGTCCCTCAGCCAGTCCAAAGGGCTCCCCACTGCCCAGTCACCCCGCTCCTGGGCACTGCCAGGGAGGGGTCCTGAGAGCAGCCAGCCAGGCCCCTGCACCCCTCAGGAACCAAGAGGCCTGCTCTGCCAGCCGGGCACAGAGCAAGACGTGGGGGCTGGGGTGCAGCCGCCCCGCTGTGCCCCAGGAGCCGCTGACGGGTGCGTCTCCGCCCAGTGAGCTCGCCCCTTTCCAGCATTTCATCCCCGGAGATGGGCAGTAGCCCCCCTGCTCCCTGGCCGGCTCCAGGCAGCCCCTCCTCCTCGGCTCACAGCCTGCCCCCTGAGCACGCCCAGCTGTGCCCCCC